AATTCCAAATCCACTTATATCATATTTTGGAAACCATTTAGGTAGTGTAATAGGTAATATTTAAAATTGAGTCTATCTTTACCTTTTATAGCAGGATCCGGATGGTGATGACAGTTTGAAACTTGGCAACCCCTCCTCTGTTCTAAGCTGGGACAGTGCCTGCCTCCATTTTGAGGTTGTGTTTTGATGGACCTGCTCCTCGACATGGTTCCAGGTCCACAATCCGCATCACAAGGACTCCATGGACCCCAGGGCGTTACCTGGCAGTCGACAACTGGAATAAAATATAGTCTAGAATCAGCGGCGGCACATAACAAGGGTCATAGGAAAAGTTCATGAGATTTGTTGTACGGCCGTAGTAGGTTAACCTTCGATGATAGTAAAAATTGGAGGCAGAATACTGTGAATTTTGAGTTACCGTAGAATCGTACAGTCAAGATTTGTGAGACTTGTTCAGCGAGCCTATTTGGTAGATGGAGGCACCACTGACTTGAAGCAAAAACAATAGTAAGAAATACAGGGTTTGTCCGGAAAGTAATAGGACTTAGTCGATTTAAAAAAATTTATTGAACCAATCGTTACAATTCTTTAAAAACTTTCAAAATAGGCTCCTTCTGCGTCGATGCAGCGCTGCCAGCTCCAAGCATTGAAGGCGTCACGGAAGGCATTCTCAGGTATAGCCTTGAGAGCCGCGGTGCATGCTTCTTGGAGCCCCTCTGTCTTCTCAAAATGCTTGCCTTTCATCGGCCTGGAACAAGAAAAGTCCGGGGGGCCACATCTGGGCTGTAGGGCGGCTGCGGAAGCGTTGGGATACCGGCCTTGGTCAGGTAGCTGTTCACAAGAAAGGCGGTATGAGCCGGGGCGTTGTCGTGGTGCAACTTCCAGTCGGCTGCGATGTCTTGTTGGACCCGACTGACCCATCGTTTTAGTCTCCTGAGCACTTCTACGTAAAACTTGGCGTTCACGGTTTGTCAGGAAGAACAAATTCATGGTCGACGATGCCTTTGATGTCAAAAAAGGCAATGAGCATCGTTTTCACTTTGGATTTGATCATTCTTCCCTTTTTGGGCGAGGAGACGCCGTCGTGTGCCACTCGGAAGATTCCGTCTTTGTCTCGGGATCATACTCAAAGATCCACGACTCGTCACCTGTGATTACGTTATTCAAATATTGGGGATCACTTTCACACATGTTTAAATTTTCTTGGCATACTTCCACTCGCCGCAATTTCTGGTCGTCAGTGAGCACTTTTGGGACCATCTTCGCGCACACCTTGCGCATGTTCAAATGCTGTGTCACAATGTCATGAACCAAAGATTTTGGTAAATTTAACATCTGGTCAATGAAACGAATATTTAGTCGACGGTCTGAGTTCAAAACTTTGCGCACACGAGTCACATTATCGGTGTTTGTCGAAATCGAAGGTCTTCCAGCACAGTTTTCATCATCGACCTCTTCCCGACCCTCCAAAAAGGCCTGGTGCCACCGAAACACACCACTTCTTGCTAAAGCAACACCTGGGTAAGTCTGCTTGATCATATCAAACGTCTCTGTCGTAGATTTACCGAGTTTCACACATAATTTAATCGCGTACCTCTGCTCCAAAGAACGATGCATTTTCGGCTTGCACCACCCACAGAAATACGTCGCGCGAAAATGCCTGTCCTGACTCTCCAAGTGCTCGGAGACAACTGACCAGCCGCTCATTCTTTAGCTAGGAACGCGCTCTACCGAATACGGTCGGTACGCAAACGCTCCGAAGTACAGTCACGCCGGAATAAAATGAGTCCTATTACATTCCGGACAATCCCTGTAGGTATGAGTCCAAGTAGAACTTGTCAAGTGGCATAAGCGGTTTCTGCATTACAACTTAGCAACTTTTTTCTGAAATGGTTGAGAATAGGCACAAAAACTATAGGACCTACGCCTGTAGAACAGGATTTGACCATTCTTTACCTTTGAAGCATTCCATATCAACAATATTTGTTGAACATCAAGCAAATATCAGAGACACCAAAAAGAAATACCTATTTTTGATAACTTCCATTGAAGAAATACTTTTCTCTTTAAACATGTTAGACAAAAAACTTCTCCTCTAAAATTACAGTTTTGGACACACTTTTGCAATATCTAACTTTTAAAAAGGCACTATAAATGTACATGGGAGTTTCACTATACATTTTTATATTTTACATAGCAACTCCTATAAATGTAACCATCTAATATACGAGCTTCTGTTACTACCCCATACTTTGCACGAACTGGATTGTACTGAAAGATTTATAAACCGTTAAGACTTTTTTCTTCCTGAAATATGTTTTCGCCTGGTAGCGTAAATTTCTTTTCTGCGGTGGTGAATTTTTGCGATTTCTTCACTCGGTCTTGCTGGTTAAAATATGACGCATTTATTTTCAGAGGTTATTTCAGGCCAAAGAATAAATGCTTTAAATAGTAGGGCCACTTTGTGGTCAGACCAGTTTGCCGACATATAGGGTGATCAAAAAGTCCGAATACGGCAATTAAGCAATGTTGCCAGGTTAAAAAACTGAAAATCACCAGACACTTGTTCAAAAAGTTGCCAGATTTAGCAAAAAATCACGTTTCTGTATTACAACTTAGCAGCTTTTTTTTTGAAATGGTTGAGAATAGGCACAAAAACTATAGGACCTACGCCTGTAGAACAGGATTTGACCATTCTTTATCTTTGAAGCATTCCATGTCAACAATATTTGTTGAAAATCAAGCAAATATCAGAGACACCAAAAAGAAATACCTATTTTTGATAACTTCCATTGAAGAAATACTTTTCCCTTTAAGCATGTTAGACAAAAAACTTCTCCTCTAAAATTACAGATTTGGACACACCTTTGCAATATCTAACTTTTAAAAAGGCACTATAAATGTACATGGGAGTTTCACTATACATTTTTATATTTTACATAGCAACTTCTATAAATGTAACCATCTAATATACGAGCTTCTGTTACTACCCCATACTTTGCACGAACTGGATTGTACTGAAAGATTTATAAACCGTTAAGACTTTTTTCTTCCTGAAATATGTTTTCGCCTGGTAGCGTAAATTTCTTTTCTGCGGTGGTGAATTTTTGCGATTTCTTCACTCGGTCTTGCTGGTTAAAATATGACGCATTTATTTTCAGAGATTATTTCAGGTCAAAGAATAAATGCTTTAAATAGTAGGGCCACTTTGTGGTCAGACCAGTTTGCCGACATATAGGGTGATCAAAAAGTCCGAATACGGCAATTAAGCAATGTTGCCAGGTTCAAAAACTGAAAATCACCAGACACTTGTTCAAAAAGTTGCCAGATTTAGCAAAAAATCACCAGATTTTTTTATTTTCGCATACTTACAAGATACATACAATAACAGAAATTAAAAATGTTTTACATAGGTTTTGGATTTATTACAATATAATATCAACTATAACGTTTTTCTTATTGAAAAAAAATTAAATAAAGTCCTGGATATTAAAGTATATATGCTATTATTGTGCCGATTAATGATATCTTCAGTTATAGAAAAGTTAAAACAGCTGTTATTATTTAGAGAAATTAATCTTTTACTGTGTAAGATTCCACTCATTGTTTTGGAGCCTAATTTGCTTCGAATTTTTGTTTTATTCAAATTGATTTCAAAAAATAATCCTGCCACACCTGCGCTACTGTGAGGTAAAGTAAATAAAACATTTACAAAGTTTGCAAGCTCTGGAAAAGTAAGACTATTATCACCCCTTTTTGCATTGCACAATTCTTTCCAAAATTTAGTCTCATCTAAAGAAAAATCAAAATTTGAAAGTTTTAAATGCCTATATTCTCTGTCTAGAGTATTGATATCGTTAACAAGATTTGGAAACCAAAAGGATAAAGGTGCTATACTTTCCGTTGTTTTGATATTTGGAGGACTCAATATAGTGAGTAGCTGAAGAACTTTTGTTTCACGAGAATTGAAAGGAAATCGTTTGTGTAGCTGATCAACTGCCTCAATATAAAAATTCAGACATTTTGTTTCAATATTATTTCCAACGGTTTCTTTTAATCCATGTTTAGTCAGTTCGGCAGCTGCTTTGGGACCTAAATAAATTTCATCAATTGAAAGAAAATTTTCCAGATTATGATATTGAATATATTCTAAATCTTTATTAATTAAGTAGTCTGGTTTTAGGAAACAACTTAATAAAAATTTACAGGCGCTCAACATTTGGGGGTAAATGTTACATATTTTTGGTTTTTCTGACTGGAATTCTAAATTTAAATTCGTAAAAGTTGGTAATATATATTCAAGAAAGAGAAGGTATATTTTATTTAATGGATTGTTTAGCATACTACTGATTTCGTCTGCTCCTGATACTTTATCGAATGCTTCGACTCCAAAGTAATGCTGAAGAGCATCATACTGTTCAAGGATTCTAGAAACAGCGGAAATCAATGACAGCCATCTTGTTTGTGAATCATGCAACAGCTTAATATTAAAAAATGATTGAAATTTACGCAATTCTGATTGTCTTTTATAACTGCGATTTATATATGAATAAATACTTCTAACTAGCTTCTCTGGATCATCTGGCAATTTTTCACATGCAAAAGAAGCACATAATGCTAAATAATGACAAATACATTCCATGGGATAAAGATCAGGGTTATCATTAACTAAAAATGTTTTTAGTGGATTATGCGCCCCCATCATTGTATTTGCCCCATCAGGTACAAAAAAATTTACTATAACATTACATAGATTTTGTGCAGTTGCTGTCTCGACTAATACGAGTCCAGGAAATTCATCTTTTATCTTGAAATTATTATTGTATCGAACTACTAGGGCTAAATGTTTTTCTGAGGAAATATCTGTGGATTCATCAATCATCAAAGAAATTTTTTTAACTTTTAACTCTGAAATAAGGTGTTCAAAGCTTGCCTTTCCTATAACATTATTAATAATTGCTGTACATTTTGTTCTGTCACAAGACATTTTTGAAACTTGGCTAGGCTTCATACCAGATAAACAAATAGATTTGACAAGTTCAGTCAAATGATCAGAAACGTTAATAGCAATATTATGCTCCGCAATAAATGATGCAATTCTAATCTCATTTTGTTTAATTATTTTATCAGACGGAATAGAAAATATTTTTTTTGACAAAATTGATTGGCTATGCATTGCGTTCATTTTGTCGATATGTTTTTTTGATAGACTATGTTTTTTGACGGCAGCTACACCACCCCTTTATTGCATATTTTACAATTAAAATGATGAATACCATGAGAGCTCGGCTTGATCCATTTTCCTAAATTTTCATGTTTCTCCCTTGCGGCTTTATATTTATGATCGTATAACTTCTTTTTCTTTATTAAAGTTGAAGACTTATCTGAATTTCCATCGTCAAGCACAGAATCAGAAGCTGAGTCAGAGTCATGTGCTTCATCTTGTTCTTTTGCATCAACGTTGCTAGTGCTTGCTTGTGGTGAATGTGGACATGGACAAGTAACAGGTTCTTGTTTTTTCCTGATTACAAATTTGTCCATATTTCCTAGTTATTCTAAAGTGAAAAATAAAAATGTTGAAAAATAATTTTGCAGAAATGAGCTTGGAAATATAATCGTGTCATATGTGAGGTTTAAATGTTTTTGAACTTAAATATGCGAGTAATTTTTTCATATCTAGCAAAATTTCTTGATAAAGACACAAAGTTAAAAATATTTTAAATACCTACCTTTAAGTTGATCAGAAACAACACTTTGCAATAAAGAAACTCTACAGAGGCGCAAGTGAAAACAAGACACACTACTGTAAATACTGTCCGTATAAAATGCTGGCGGCGCCCACGGAACCTTCTTAAGTAAAGCGATTACGGGACTACGGGGGTTTTGCACGGGTATTCCCCGGCATTAGCAGTGGAGTTTTCGAAAAGTATAACGCTACAGTCACGTATCTTTATATAATTATATACTAAATGTATATTGACAAACAGATTTCTTTTGAATGAAAATTTAAATCTATAAATAGGACAGTCCTAAAAATCACCAGAAATAGGACTTTTCAAAAAAGTTTTCACCATATCACCCGATTGGTCTACAAATCACCAGATCTGGTGATTTTTCACCAGACCTGACAACATTGCAATTAAGTACTTTCAGAAACCATGAGTCTAGAAGAAACTCTACTTGTTGCTTTTCCTCAATTGCTTTAACTGACCGAATTTAACGTCAATTATGTTTATACCTGGCTTTGACCATGACCTTGAAGGCTATTTTTTTTATATTCATAGATAGATATGAAGGTATAATCTGTCAGTCTAATTAACATTAGCATTAGCTTAGAATGTTTTGGATTAGGATCATATCATTAGAGAGTCCTTAGTGTAACAAATAACGAAGATATTAAGTTATTTGGGGCAGCGATAGCGAGTAGTTTATATGACCACTAAAGTGAACTGTAGTAATTTGACAGTACTAACTACTGACTGTGAAGACAGGTTGCTTATTTTTTTTCGATTCTGACCGTGCAGCTTGTCCATAATGTTCAATACCTTGTTAAATTATTTCATAGACAAGTTTCGATAATCTCTCAAACCTGACAAGAAATGAATATGCTTAGAATCCAGGAACCACACACCGACAAGTGACCACAAAACCAGTAGAACTACAATAAGAGGCTATCCTGCTACTTTGCATGTATAATAAAAATCAGGAAAAATCAATCGCTTTAGAACAATACTATTTCTTGTTATTTATTTTTAGTTGTGACCTAACACTCATATTTCTAGAATGTTTTAACCGATGTGTCTTTATAACTTGAAATTATTTCAATTAGACTACTAATTCTGGCAACAGCGCCGAATAATCAAAACATAACCTCACGAAATAAGCCCTCCCCGATTCCCCGTAACTAACGGAGCTTTCCTATTTGGATAATGAAGCCTAAATAATGAAGATCATAAAGACGCGGCAAAACAAGAGCACTAAGAACTCTCTACTCACTGTAGATGACTAGGTGAAGACGTCACCTAATTTTTACATTACGGATGGTCATTTCCGACTTACTTTTGATCCTGTTCTTTACCTTGGCCATGTCCAAAGGTTAAAGGAAAGTAGGTGTCGACGCGTAAGAAGTTGAAATGTTTCAGCGAGTGATTTTACTACCCGTGAGTCTGTACACTTTATTCCAGGCTTCCAATTATACCATTCTGGGTTTTTGTGCCACTTTTCCTCGAAGCTCTTGTTATAATGCAAAACTCTCTCCAAGTGAATCGAATTAAGCTGTGTCATATTTAGCAGTATGCCTGTCGCTTGTTAAATCCGGAAAGATCATGTTTCTCGGATATTCTTAAGTACTCTGTTTCTTGGACTTTTGATGTTTTTATAATTTAATATGGATGCTTTTTGTTCAGAATCTTCTATTTTTATTTACTGCTGGAGGATCACCTGGAAAGCTTTTCCATTGCTCAGAAAAATAATCATATTGGCATTACGAATTTTTCTTTGTGTCATTTTCAACCTTATTTAGATACTCTTACAGATAGCGTATTAAAAGAATAAGATTGACCTCCGCTTTCGGCAGATTCTGCACGGACCCAAGTGGTGACAGTCGCACCTAGTAGATTCCTATTATAAATGTCCCTCGACATCAACAGAGATGTTTGTGGTTACTTGATTCCTGCTACTGTATTGTTGAGATGTGGAGTGTTCACGTCATTCCCAGATATCTCCCGGTACTTTCTCAGAGGATTGGAGATTTGCAGCACGTCCCAAAAACCAGATCTAAGACCGACTTTTACAAGTACAGATCTAAAGCTCTGCTTTCTGTTATCAGCAAGGTGATGGAGAAGTACATAAGTATGGAGTTTCTAGAATAGTTCGAAAACTGTGGCTAGATTAGCGACAGGCAGTATGGAAGGACTTCCTAGCTCACGTCATAAGTGTGTAATAAACTCATCCAGTCACATGGTGAGGCTCATATCGTTATTTTTTACATCCCTCATCCAAAGCATTCAGAGAACCTCTGCAGGGTGGTTAACTTCTTTTTGGGTCGCAAGATATCAATCGTTGTTGTTAGTTTCTCCTCTTTGTCCCACAATACCATCGCGGGTATTTCCCAGGTATCGGTTTTGGTACCAATTTTGTTTCTATTACATATCAACGACCTCCTCTCCGGTACGATCAATCCCATTCTCAGCTTTGTCGATGACAATATTCTGTACGCTAGTATGGCTAGTAGATCAATGCTGAGCTGGAGAGAAACTAGTAGAGACTTCCTCTCTGGCGAGAGATCTGGAAATTATCATCGCTTAGGGATGCAACAATAGTTTAATGCTTCCAAAATACAGTATCGTACATTCACCTTCGATACTTATCGACTGGAATATTTTTTGACGTTTTTTGAGCATTCAGTCATTGGATTACATTATTATATAAGTAAGCGGTTTCATTTCAGCATTATCCGGATTCCAATAGTAATAGATAGCTTAGAATTGATTAAAGTGGACCAAGTCTCTCGGTTCAACTCAGAGCAAACTCATCAATAATGTATAAGTTCGATATATCAGCAAACACATTGAGGGAGTCAGCATAATCATTTGACCTCTGATACAGAATTCGAAATTTTGCAACAAAGGACCCATTAGGTGATTAGTTTCTACCATGTATTATGCCGAATCCATGTGCCGCAATCGTACAGTAGCTCGTGAAAGGGATATTTTTTTATACTGATGCAGGCGCGTAGAAACCAAAATACCGAGGCATCGCGACTGCTATAGGGTCCTTAAAGACACCTTGATAATCCAATTTTTGAGCTTCCTAATGCTGGTAGAATCGCAAAAGCCTCCTGAGCCAAATTGTTTCGCAATCTTGACATACTAGGAAAAAGGAGCACTTGTACCGGCCAGTCTGGAAGGTACCTCTGACAGGCTCAACGCGCGGTATCAGGAAGTATTTTCGGAAGGCTGAAAGTTTTGCAGGTTTTGCAAATTGTAAAGGATTTGTAAAGATTATTATTATTAAAAATCTACTGAAAAATATGGAAAGTTGCGGAATTTTAAAAGATTCGATGTAAATTTAAAGTTTGTACATCTTGAGAACTGAATATTTTGCACAGAAAAAAATGTCTAACCAGATACTGTCCTAATGCTGTACGGTATAGAAAGCAACAGTTTTAAGAATCCACATTATATGAGACAATACGTACTGTAGAGTGCTACATAGGAAACTTACACCACATCAATGATGTTAGTGACATTACGTGAATGAGAAAAACAAAAATCCATACCAAACCCAAACTAGCTCTTTCCTTGTGCTTGTATATCCAATGTATCCAATTTTCCGGATATCCGAACACCGTCACATTCTGCACGGACCACATATTTTCTGCCCAACGATACCGCTATATTTTCACGTGTTCCATAATACTAGATCCCTTCCTATTTATTTCAAAAATAAGGCGCACGCAAGTGAGCATTGACCTTCTTCGTCATAACCAAGACGGCTTATTGGTGTATTATATTTACATATGGTTGACTCGAAGGTATCTGGTGAATGTGCTGAGACTGCTACCTTGAAGAGGCCTTGAGGGCATAAGAGAATTTCAGGGTTTCATCTTGAGTATACTAAAATTCCTCCAATACACCCGGAAAAGTTTTTCAAGAAAGATAATTTACATGCCGTAGTAAAAAGTTTTATCAACTATTACACTTTTCAGAATTTTTTAAATTTCCATGACTTTCAAAATTTTTTAAGCTTGCAAAATTCTGAAATTTTCAAAATTTAATGGGGTTCCAAGATATGGTATTTGAAATTTTTTGTATTATCATAATCTTGCTGATTTTTGGAATTTTCACAATCACCAACACTCCAAAATTTTCCAGTATTTTCAAAAGTTTAACAAACGTCACGTTTCTCAAGATTTTCAGAAATTTGTTTATGTTCAATTTTTTTTTCAAAATATACACGTTATACAAAGAACCAGGCAGTTTCGTTACGGAAAATGGCTTTCGGCTAAATTTGTTGAAATTTCGGGGGGTTGCCTACTTTCAGTGGGCATTATCAAGATGGTTGCGCTCAAATGAAAGGGCACAACTTCATTCTCATTTTCCCTCTACTCTCTCCCTCTCTCTTCCTCCTTTCGCTCCCTTCTCTCTCCTTTCTTTTTTCCTATCCTCTCCCTCTTTTCTTTAATCTTCCTCTCCTTCTTTCACTTTCCTTATTTTTTCTCAGTCTGAGGCGTTGGGGGGAGGCAATGGCACCATTTCCTCCCTTCTGAATCTATGCCTGCTTCGGGGCCTAAAGAGTCTGTCGGACCAGTTAAAGCAAGACCTATTACTGCTCAGTCAGTCAAAATAAGCCACAACATTGCCAAATTTGTTTCACTCAAAAAAACTGACATGACCTTGGCCACAACCTTCAAGGTCACTGTCTAGGTCAAATGGTCACTATTGACAAGTCTGAGAAAAATACTAGCAATAGTATGTTTTACTTGTTCTCTAATAATATTATTTTAAAACATACGTTTTCCTCTCCTATCTACCAATAACCCCTACCTGGGGGTTTCTGTGTTCCGTAGGGAGTAAAGGAGGGGTGTCAGGGGATTGACCCTATTGGAGCTTTTGATCGCCATGTCTAAGAGCCTGTATGTGAAATTTCAACGAATTTAGCAGAAAGCCCCTCTCCATAAGGAAACTGCCTGGTTCTTTCCAATACCTTAAATGGAAACAAAATTATCCAGATTTTTAAAATTTTCATAATTTTCAACGTATTCACAGTTCTCTTGTTCGAGGTTCTAAAATTTTTTGGAACTTTTAGCAAGGAATCAATACAAGGATCGAAGGTCTATTATGTTCCTTTATCCATTGAACGATTTCAA